GGGGGTTGGATGGCCGAATGTTTAGCATGTGCGCGCTGTATCATAAGGTCTGTCATTGAGTAAAGTGACAGGGTTTTGACTTTCAGCTTGTACATGACAAGGAGTAGAGTCGCCTGTCCAACCCCGTGAGTTTTCTCTGGGTCCTCCAGTTTCCTCCCACTGCTAAAGACACTACACGCGAGCAAATTATTGAAATAAAATTGAACCATATGTTAGTCCCGAAGTGACCTAGTTTGTGTCAAGTGGATGTTAAACCCCATCTCTCTCTCTCTCTCTCTCTCTCTCTCTCTGTGTCCCTCTCTCTTTTCTCTTTTTAATTTGATTGAATCGAAACCTGTTGATTTTTTATGGCCATCAACAAACCTATTGAACCATACAAACCTCCCTTCACAAATACAAGATTGAAAACTTGTAATTCCTAAATTACTTCTAGAATAGGAGCTTAATCTAAATTAATATGCATATTTTTGTCATTTCTTTTTAAAAAGAAAAAAGATTTTTACTAACTTCTGCATGTGCATTTAATAATGTGAAAGTAATTTTTACTTACTTGCAAATTTTAGTTTTCATGTCAATTAATATTCAATATTTGTGAAAATAAAGGAATGAAATGTTAGGGAGATTAAAAGATTGTTTTCATTAAAATAAGCTTTCGCTGAATAGACCTTTTATTTTGATCCCTGTTTGTTATGTATGAAGCCATATAACATATTAGTCCGGGTAATGATGATAACATTGAAGTTGTGATTCCCCAAATTACTGTTAAACCATCTTAAATAGACCCTTAAAAATATGAAACCCTTTAGTTTATTTATGATCAGGAGTTGATAATAATCTGTGTGTATTTAACACTTGAAGAGATATTGTGTTGTTATCAGGGGCTGTCCGCGAAGTGAAACAATAAGAGGCTGGCTCTCAAGTGGGGTTTAATCCGTAAAATTGAGATGCTATGAATTGTTATAAACTTATACATGATATTACTTGTTGTTTAAAGACGTTTCGATTATCAGGTTTATCATCCCAGTGTTATCAAGCTATCAAATTTTTCTCTAAACAAACAAATAGATAGTTTGATTCTAGCAGGGTTTTAGGGGGATAAAAGTAGGGGTTTGAGTTAGGGTATTGGTAGTAAAGGCTGAAGAAGTGAAGCTGTCAAGATGTTGATACCAAGTTTAGAAGTTTATAATTATAATGATTCGTGGACGTATTATCAATACCAAGATAATCACACAAATAATTTTCAAAATACAGAATATGAACGATGTCAATATTCATGTAAGATATTTTTTTCTTTATCTAAAAATCATAGTAACAATTTCTTGAGTAATTCTTGAAATTTTTATAATTTATTTTTAATAATCAATTTAGCACTGAGAGTTCCAGCTAATAAACGGCTGCAGGCATTTCCTTACAATTAAGATACATTTACGTAAAACACCAGTTTTAAAACATTACACAATTCAAGATATGTTCACAATTTAAAAGCATGTTTAAAAAATTGTGTTTTAAGATTTTTTTCTTTTTAAAAACATTTAATATTTTGTTTTCAAATTAAGAAACCATGATGCTATATATGTGGTTTTTGATTTAGAGAAAAATGAACCCATTTTAATTTTAAAAAATCATTTTAACATATTTTTTAAAAAATGTTTAAAGAAAATTATAAAACATTCCTGTAAAAGTATGAGCAATATTGGAAAAATATTTTAGAAATCTACTGGGACCTTGCCATAAAAAGATAGTGATCTCAAACGATCAATAAACTATTCCATATTCTATGTAACGGTCATATTGTGTCACCCAAGGCAATATCACCTGGAAATGTTAACAATGTTCAATTTTTTTTTTAAAATTTGGTGGAAAAATAAGGTATGATATTTTTATGGGGATATCTCAAAATATAAATATCCGCGGTGGGCCTGACAACTTCAGCTGTCTAGTCCTTCGGATGAGACGAAAAACCGAGGTCCCGTGTATACATTGGAATGCACGTAAAAGATCCCTTGGCAGTTGGAATTCAATATAAAAATAAGCGATAGTGCCGCTGCCCGGTCAAAAATTTTCCTCATAGCATATGCCCGTCTTCATTAGACCAGCATAGGATCAGAACAGGAGGATGTTAAACCCCATTTCATTTCATTTCATTTCATTTCAAAATATCCATCCACTAAACTTTTCTATATTCTACTGGTCAACCAAGGGAATATCGCAGGGAAATATTAAAAATGGTAAATTGTTTTGAAATTTGGTGGAAAAATAATATGATATTTTTTTATGGAAATACATCTATCGCAAAATATCAATAATGCCTAAACTGCATGGTTAAAAAATGATGAAAGACTTAACAATAATTTATATGTGTTTAAAAAAAAATACTATTTGTAATTATTAATTGAAGTTATCTGCATATATGGTTTTGAAATTGAAATATATGAGGAATTATTTTTACATCTTTTTAGATATATGAGGAAAATGTTTGAAGGAAAATGTGAGAAATGTTTTAGTTTGGTTAATTTTAGATATCTTAAGTTTTTGGGTCAAGTTAACTATGATTTTATGTGAGAAATTCTGAAAGTACGTAGTTGTCAGTTGAATAACATCGTAAAAGTACTGGGATGACCCGAGTATTGTTATCTCCAGTAGTTTGTTTATTACACTGTACAAAGTGTGAACGAAGCTTTGATTGAAGACCTTGAAGTTTGGAACCCTGCTGAGTATCAGACAATCCTAAACAACAGTTAATCACCGTTAATCCACTTAGATTGTTTTCTTGATAGATTCGCATATTTCATATAGTTGATTGAGTCCAAGGAAATAGAACATTTGGTAACACATTGGAAATAACCAGATCGGGCAATGAGAAGGGAGGTAGGGGATGTCAAATGGTCCAAGGCATTAAGTTCCCAGATCAAAGACATGTCATCCATGCAAGCTTGATGGACTTGCATATTTCATAGTTGATTGAGTCTGAGGCATTAAATGAGGGTAATAGAACATTTGGTAACACATTGGAAATAACCAGATTGGGCGATGGGAAGGGAGGTAGGGGATGTCTAATGGTCCAAGGCATTAAGCTGCCAGATCAAAGGCATGTCATCTATGCAATCTTTGAGTTTTATCAAGAAGTAGAGTTGCCTGCCCATCTTCATAGGTCTTCTCTGCCAAGCTCTGGGTTCATCGGTTTCCTTGTTGCTGACATTGATCTGTTGAACACTGTATTTCACTTCCTCTTCCCTGGCATGTTAACCTGTAGAACACCAGATATCACTTCCTTGCCACTGATGTACTGGTTATAAAATGTGCATTGTGTCTTGAATATTTGGTATTAAGATCCCATATTTTCACGGCAAGATAACAACATCAATATGGATTGAAATTCACCAATATTGAATTCTAATTCATGTTTTTAATTTCTGGGAACCACAGTGGCTAGGTGGTTAAGATGCTGGCTTGCTAGCCTGGAGGTCGGGTGTTCGATCCCTGCATTGGCCAAGAAAGTTTATCCAGATTTTCCGACGTGGTTTTCCCCTTGTCACGTAAAAGATCCCTTGGCAGTTGGAATTCGATATAAGAGTAGGCGATAGTGCCGCTGCCCAGGCAAAATTTCCCTCATAGCACACGGTATGGCGTATGCCCGTCTTCATTAGCCCCGTATAGGAGCAGACCAGTAGGACGTTAAACCCCATTTAATTTCATTTCATTTCATTTTTAATTTCGAGTTTTATAGATAATATTGAGTTAGAGGTTTCGCTTCTTTAATATCATATCTTGTATGTTCGGAAATTGAAGAAAATAATATTCCGAATGAGTTGTTATATAAACATATCTGTTACACGAAATTAAGATGTGTACATAACAAAATTCTCCAAAAAATGAGTTGAACCGGAAATGGAATAAATTTATATTTTATAAAACGTGTTTAAAGGTAACGTGAGCACCAATATTACCTTGTATCTCAAGTGTTAACATGTCTGTGTATATTGGTTGATATCTTAAAGAAACACAAAGTAATCATCATCAAGTGTTATTTTAGGGATAACAAGAAACACTTATAACCTTATTCAAGTACCTTGTCAATAAACATTACCTTTATAGGGGGTTATAGGGGGTTGTTACCTTTATAGGGGGTTATAGGGGTTTTTACCTTTATACAGGGTTATAGGGGTATTACCTATTGCAGGTCTTTCTTTAGGTCTGAAATGTATAAACTATTAATTTAACAAAACAAGACCATAATCAACTCTTGATGGAATCGGATACTCAAGATTTTAGCTAGATTAGAACGGTTCGCCATTTAAAAATTGAATTTAAATAAATGGGAAAGCGAGGCTAAGTCTTAAATATACCAGTGCCCTAGTTATCACAATGCACAGATCTTGTCAAAACTGCAAACAGTGATAACTTGGGTCAGAATAAAGTTATTTAAATGAAATTTTCAATATTTTTATTTTGCATTATCAATTTTCGAACTATTATAGTAAGAATGGTCAGCTCTTTATCTAAATCTTAACTAATGTACATGTATCTTTAAATAATGAGTGTTGGGTATATAACTGTTCAGTTTCCTGAGCATGGTTGAGTAATTAATTACTCAATGCCTTGTTGATTGACTGTAGGAAATACAAGTTTATCATTTGTAAATCTGTTGATCAACTGCAGGAAATGTATAATGCGTTTGTCTGTAAATCTTAAATGACTATAGTTTATATTATTTATAATTCTGTTAATCAACTGTAGGAAGCGTAGAAACTGCAGGAAATGTATAATGTGTTTTCCTGTATAATATCTGTTAAACGACTAGGAAAGACAAGTTTATTATCTGTTGATTGAGATTCTGAGATTCTTTTGCAGTCAAATTGTGAAGGCTCTACAGACTACATTTATCATCTGATTGTTTTGAAATTAATGTATGTTGTTTTCATCAGTGGGACGAAGAAGTCTATTTTTTTTGTAATATCTTTTCTCTCAAAACTAATTTTTTAAAATACCTATATTTCCAGATTCACCTGATTTAAGCGTGCCATGTTTAACAACAGTTCAAGGTTTACCGTCAACAAGTCCAACCAATTCAACTGGTCAGGGTGTCAGTCAGTTCTGTGCCATCTGTGGAGATCGTGCAACAGGAAAACATTATGGCGCCTCCAGCTGTGATGGGTGTAAAGGTTTCTTCAGAAGATCGGTACGAAAGAGTCACATCTACACCTGCCGATTCAATCGTAACTGTATCGTTGATAAAGATAAAAGAAATCAGTGTCGATATTGTCGGTTACGGAAATGTTTCAGGGCCGGGATGAAAAAAGAAGGTAAGTAAAAGTTGAAGATGTTCATCGTTCAAAAATATAAATATTTAATTCCATCCACAAGGCAAGGGGCCATAGTGGATCTGTGAGTAACGGTTCTTTCCTGTTAACCAGGAGTTTCAGAGTTCGATCCCTTTTAAAAAGATTAACCAGTAATTGAAAAAAGACTCTCTCCCTCTCTCTCTCTCTCTCTCTCTCTCATATGTATAATATAGCTGTTTAAATTTGTTTTTTACAGCTGTACAGAATGAGCGAGATAGAATAAGTGTTAGACGAACAAGCTATGAAGATATGACATCTACCGGAGCATTGGCCTGCAGTACTTTATTAAACGCGGAAATGTTGTCTCGTCAGGTAAAACTATATAACTTCTTTATACAAAGAGTTTAAGATTAATATTGTATTTTCCATCTAATAGGGTGGTGGAGCCAAGATGGCTCAGTGCATAAGTCGCGGGTTCGCTAGTCTGGAGGTTGTGGGTCCGCTCTCAGTTTTGGCCGAGAAAGTTCATCGCGGTTTTCCAGTAGGTTAACTCTTGTCAGTGATGCAGGACGAAGGGCCTGACAAGGACAGCTGTCTAGTCATTCGGATCCGACAAAAGACCAAGGTCCCGTGTACACATTGGCGTGCACGTAAAAGATAACTTGACAGTTGGAATTAACTAGGTCATTCTGGGACTAACATATGGTTTAATTTTATTTCAATAATTCGTTTGCGCGTAGGGGTCTTTAGCAGTGGGAGGAAACCGGAGGACCCGGAGAAAACCCACAAGGTTGGACAGGCGACCCTACTCCTTGCCACATACAACCGGGGATTCGAAACCATGCCAGTTGACTCAATGACAGACTTTATGATACAGCGTGTGCTTACCACAGCCATCCAACCCCCCTGTCTATCAAGAGAGAGGAGATGATATAGTTATTAGAATAGAATTATATTTTAACATACTTTAACTCTGTTTTATTAACTAGATATCAGCACCAATAACATATCATGATTTATCAGCACGGAAGATAGCTCAGGCAAATGATGTTTGTGAATCTATGAAACAACAGTTACTGATACTAGTAGAATGGGCTAAATATATACCAAGTTTCTGTGAACTACCACTCGATGATCAGGTTAGTAGTGTTGTTTGTATGTTGGTTTTTTTTTGTATGTTGTTGTTTATTTGTTTGTTTTATTGTTGTTTTTGTTTGTTTAATTGTTGTGTTTATTTGGATGTTTGTTAGTGTCTCTGAACTACCTCAGTATGATCAGATCAGTATTGTTGTTTCTGTTAGTATGTATGTTTGTTGTAGTTTATGTTTGTTTGCTTGTTTCTGTGAACTATCTCTGAACTATTTGTTGTTTTTGTTTGTTTGTTGTTTTTCTGTCTGAACTACCTCTTTATGATCAGGGTTAGTCTTAATAATAATGTGTATATTTGTAATGCAGTTTATTAACACCACAAAGGGTGAGGTTCAAACCATAAAACAAATACTACCCCGATCTCTAGAATACAGGGAAAGTTTATTTACCTCCTTTTAAGCGCAACCATTTTCTAATGTAATTGCATCCTTTTTATTCAATCTGGTCACTTGTTCATCCAACAAATTAATTCTTGTCTAAGCAAACACTGTCCAATTTAATATTAATTGTGATAGATTAGGAAAAGGGTATGTCAACCTTTTTTGGTGCAGTTATCCTGGCAAAACTTTCTAAAGAGAATATAACAAATGATTGAAAATTTTCAGGTGGCGTTATTACGAGCTCACGCAGGTGAACATCTGGTGCTGGGCGTGGCTAAAAGGTCCCTTGAAGTTAATGAAGTTCTGTTATTAGGTAACGATGCTGTGATACCACGAACAGCTGCAGATATGGATATTGGGCGTATAGCAGGTAGAATATTAGATGAATTAGTTCAACCATTACGAGAGATACAGATAGATGATACAGAATTCGCCTGCATTAAAGCCATTGTCTTCTTCGATCCAGGTAAATTTGAATTGGGGTTTAACGTCTCGTCATGAAATGGGGTTTAACGTCTCATCATGAAATGGGGTTTGACTTCCCATCATGAAATGGGGTTTAACGTCTCATCATGAAATGGGGTTTGACTTCCCACCATGAAATGGGGTTACACGTCTTACTCTTCTCCAACAATCGAGTTAATGAAATGAAATGGGGTTTAACGTCTTACTCTTCTCCATCAAACGAGTTAATGAAATAAAATGGGGTTTAACGTCTTACTCTTCTCCAACAAACGAGTTAATGAAATGAAATGGGGTTTAACGTCTTACTCTTCTCCATCAAACGAGTTAATGAAATGAAATGGGGTTTAACGTCTTACTCTTCTCCAACAAACGAGTTAATGAAATGAAATGGGGTTTAACGTCTTACTCTTCTCCAACAAACGAGTTAATGAAATGAAATGGGGTTTAACGTCTTACTCTTCTCCAACAAACGAGTTAATGAAATGAAATGGGGTTGAACGTCTTACTCTTCTCCAACAAACGAGTTAATGAAATGAAATGGGTTTTAAAGTTGCAATTTCATATTTTTAAGTTATATTTTTAAAATTTATTAAAATAAAGCCAAAAATAGATGGTATCTATAAACAGTCCTACCTTGTTAAAGAATAATCCTATTAATCCTATAATTCACTACTGCCAGTCGAGAAATTGGCAAAAATATCATTTTCATCTTCAAATTCAAACGTTTGGATATAGCTACTCCATGGTGGAGAATAGAAAACAAGGGAGGTAATTGTGTTATTATTTCCGGTGTAAATGAGTTTTAAGTGTGAGAATGACACCTATGATCGTATAATAGTGAGTTGACAACCTATTGAGCAAAAGACATAGAAATAATTATGTTTTGACTTTCTTAGAAAATATGAAATTGTAACTTTGACGTCCTACTTTTCTACTCCAACTGGGCTTTACGACGAATTCTTGGTGTGCCATGCACGGAACAGTTGGTAAACCACTAGAAACGTCAATGCTGATTGATTAATCAATGTCTGACGTTATAGGGTCAAAAGTTGCTCATACGATCCCTGACACAACCTTCCAGTGCAATTTGTCAGATTTTCATGTAGTGTAGGCTATCGAAAGCACTGAAAACGAAACAAAAAAAAGGTCTGTATTTTAATCAGATAGATGTTTAGTGTCAGAAATCACTAGAAAATTAAATATTTAAAGATACATTATGGGAGATTAGATAAAGAGCTGGCAGTTCACACTATAATAGTTAAAAACTAGATAATGTAAAGAGAATTTGCTGAAAATTTCAGTCAAATTGATCCACTTGATTTTAGCAATTGAATAATGGGGCTAGCCTCGATCATCATTACTAAAATCGATAGGATAAAAAAACATTGTCTCGATTATCCATTTTTTTTATTTAATTATGAATGGAAGTCGAACAGCAAATCTGTACCTAATCCAATAAACATTGCAGGCTAGCGATGCCATCTAGAGTTGATTATGGTCTGGATCGGTTAATTAATGTCTAATTAATAATTTAGATAACATTTCAGGCCTAAAGAAAGACCTGAAATAGGCAGATTTAGCTCTTGCATAATGCATGTTTAATCATTTCTGATAATAAGACTGTTTCTTTATTAAAGGAGCTAAATCGCTAACATTTGGGACCTAGAAATTCACAAAAGTGGGTCGCAATGCATATAATACTGTAATATGAATGTATATAAACTGATTTACATTTAATGGTTTCCGTTTTTACTCCAATTTCAAATCAGTTATGTTCAGCGAAATAAGTCAGCAATCTCAATCGAGTGCAAATTTCTAGCGTCTAGTTATTCTAGTCTACATAACTCCATTTGATTTGGTGCAATGTGTCTAGCCTCGTCCCTCGAGTCTCTCAATACAACTGGGGCTGAAGCGCATTATGGTACACGATTCGTGTACCAATGTTAAAAAAATTATTTTATCTTAAATATCGGATATCAGAAGCTCATCTTTTCCCGGTAAGTTTACATCATCAATGTTGATTTAAATTGACCAATAATTCGTGTTTTCGATGTCGAAGATTTTGGAGGATTTTGAGTTACGGACTTAGGTCCTTTAATGTCTTGTAAAAGAGTAAAATATGCAAAAACCTTAGTTGATTGCTCAGATGACTTAGCGTATGTTTCATTGCCTGGCAACTGCTACCGTGAGCGTATGTTTCATTGCCTGGCAACCTATCTTTAATTTCTCTTTGTGTTTTTCAGATGCACGAGGATTAAACGACAAACAAAGAATAAAAACATTTAGATATCAGGTTCATATGAACCTAGAGGACTATATTAACGATCGACAATACGATTCTAGGGGCCGCTTCGGTGAAATCCTTCTTCTACTTCCAGCCCTACAGAGTATTACATGGCAGATGATTGAACAAATTCAATTTGCCAAATTATTCGGAATGGCCAAAATCGATAACCTACTTCAAGAAATGTTATTAGGGGGTAGGTAAAATCAATTTGTCTCATTTGTCTTTTCGATCCCTGAGAAAGTTTATCAGGATTTTCTGGCGTGGTTTTACTGGTGCAGGACCGAGTGGCTGAAAAGGAAAGTTATCTAATCGTTCGGATGGGACGAAAAACTGAGGTCCTGTGTATACATTGGCGTGCACGTATAAGATCCCTTGGCAGTTGGAATTCGATGCAAGAGTAGGCCATAGTGCCGCTGCCCGGGCAAGATTTCCCTCATAGCACACTGTATGGCGTATGCCTGTCTTCATTAGCCCAGTTGGAGCCGAACTTCATTTTGTACTACGGGCACAAAAGCATAAACTGTATGCCTTCTTGTTGCTGTCAATGAACCGAACTCAACTCCAGATGATATGACAAATTTAAAAAGAATTGCATTTTTAGAAAGCTTAGGCTGTGGACTATTCAAATATGCTGCTGCCAGCTCTAGTTTTATAAAAACAACCAAGAGCCTGCTTTTGTGGGAGTGGCTCACATAACTCCCTCTCTAACGGCATGTATCTTTAAAAATATTTTAAATTCTAATTAGTTATGTTTTTTTTCTGTACTTTCAGGGGCCAACAGCAGTGAAAATAACTCACAAGTTCAATCTCAAGACGCGATGTCCAATCCCATGTTGTCAACAAGTGCCTTCCCAGATGCCCTTGGTACTGTCACATCTCAAGGTGAACTGTTACAGAACACAGAGGCGCTACATTTAAACACAAACCATCCAGGAACGGCTAGTCCCATTGGACACAGTCCTACCATGGACCCACAGATGCATGCATGCTTAATTCAGTCTCATTCTCAAACTCCGCCTCCGGTTGTCCTTAGCAACAAAAACAACGAACCAATCGCCTTGAATATGACAAATGAGAGTCATCACATTCCAAATGGCCATCATGGAACGAGTAACTGTTCTCCGCGAATTTCACCAGTCCCTGAATCTTACAAGATGTCTCAACAGCAGACAACATCCTCTCGAACCACACATTTCAAACAGGAAGTGTCCTAATATAGGCATAATTTGTTGTTAATTTTTTGTTGTTATATGAATCACTTCTGGGATTATTGATAAGAGGTACGGAAACTACGGAAGGACAACTTGCCTGCGATATCATCTTCCTTGGAAGCAGCTTTTAGGCCCCATGAGCGAACGAAACAGAAGGGAAACAAAATTTGTTAATCATGTGAATTGCCCAAATTAAATAAGAAAAAAGTAAGAACACCTTGTCTCATGTAGGACACCAACAACTACTCATAACTACATGGTATCAGGTGTTCTAGAAAGCTCAAGCATACCCTGCCTGTTGTATGACACACACCACTACTCATAACTAAATGAGAAGTGTATTAGGTGTTCTAGAAAGATAGTAAACATACCCTGCCTGAAGCACAGATAGAAAATACAGGCGTATATACATAATCGTTAGCTCCATAACATGTGAAGCATTACATGGAAGGGACTCGATCGTCAGTTCGTAACAATAGAATTACAATTGAATTACACAGAATTGAGTCCTGAAACTGTTCTGCTTGAGCAAAATCAAATGTTTCAGCTGTGGCGATTGGTCGTTATGAGCAGAATCAAAAGTTTCAGCTGTGGTGATTGGTCGAGTATCATATTCAGTTGATGCATGCCTTGTTGCCTGAAATTCTCATTTAACACCTTCTAATCGAAGACAGAAGTCTCGATAAAGTGCCGTACCTTTTTGATTTTAATCCCAGAGGCAGTTTTGTTGATAGAATTGAGAAATATAATGAAATGTTTATGTGCTTTTTTGTAGTTTTTTTTTGATATTGTATATACATACATATTACAGTGTTCCCTAGGGAACTGGTATTATTTGTTTTAATGTGTTGTTATATAATTGTAATTATTATAAAATAGAAATAGTTTGTAATTATTTCTCTAAAATATTACGGAGCTTTCATTTTAACCAGAATTAAACGGACATGTGTTGCTACAGGAGTTTTATGTCTGGTTTTACTAAACCAGTTCAGACGGTTTTAAGCTTTATTAAAATTGCTCTTTCTTATCGTTGTTATAATTCAATATGGCTCTTGATTCGAGAGACAGTTGGACAAAAAAATTTAATATATTTAGTTTGGTTTTCAATTTTTATTTAATATTCTTGTAATTAATGTTTTAATTAATTTTAATTAATTTACTAATTCAAAGGAACTAAGTTGTCAAATACAGAAAAGTATGAATTTGGTGTCATGGTGGTTTTAAGTTATTATTTAATCACTTACATGCAGGCCAGTATTAACTCTTTAAGATCTGGTATGTGTAGATATTGACTACACCAGTTCCCGAAAAAATTAAAATAAAACAGAGAAAATAAACCACCCTTCTCACACTGCCTGAGTCATGGAACAAGTAAGCTTTCCTTAAATAGTTCACAGCTGTTTATGTGTCTTTGGTTGGTTTGATGTCGTCTAGGGACCCATAGTTTAAAGTTACAAAAGGCTTTAATCTCATCCCGCATGAGATACATACCACTAATTTGATAATTGAATTTTAGAGTTACCTCCCTTTGAAACTAAATATCCTTATTTTGTGTCAATTAATTTGCTTTAGTTAATTTATTTTGAATATTTTTATTCTCATAATATATATTATATCACTATAAGAAGAGTCAGTTGTTCAATTCTGAATAAAAATATTGTTTATAATATTGAAATATATCTTGAAATGGCATTAATTAATATATAGATATTTTTGTGTTATTACCTTACTGCCTCTGTTGTTTCACGAAATTTTAACTAAGATAAAATCCAAATTTTAGTAATTTGGTTGGATAATATTAGATTGATTTTAGTTCTTAGCCAATCAAAATTGAAGTATCTACTAAAATTTGGATGTTATCTTTTAGTTAAGATTTCGAGAAACCGGGCCCTGTTCATATTATATAAGTAGTAGATAGCAGCCACTTCCAAGTTGTTATTCATATTAAAAAAACCAAGGGCGGAGGCAGGAGGTTTTATTTTGAATAACAAGTGGGGAAATAGTTTGCTATCTGACCTGTGGTTTCGATTCCTCGGTTTGTACGTGACAAGGAGTAGGGTCGCCTGTCCAACCTCGTGGGTTTTCTCCGGTTCCTCCGGTTTCCCCCCACTGCTAAAGACCTCTATGCGCAAGCGAATTATGGAAATAAAATTGAACCATATGTTAGTCGCAAAATGACCTATTTTGTGTCGAGTCGAGTGGACGGTAAACCCTATTACTCTCTCTCTCTCTTCTATTTGACTTGACCAGTATCAACCGCTGCTTATCTTGTACACCAGAGATTCAAAAAGTGGTTATTGTAGGTCAACATTATCGCAATATCAACCCCTAATGACTTGATCTTGGGTTAATCCCGAGAATACCACCTTTTAAAATAATCAATAGTTGCTGTGATTGGAGATATAGTCTGGAGGTGTGTAATTAAAAGTAACATTTATACTGAATGTTTGATGGGGACTTATTAAAACTGTTCTAGTAATTAAAGATACATTATGTAAAATTTAGATAAAGAGCTGACCATTCTTGCTATAATAGTTTGAAAAAAGATAATGTCTTCCTCCTCCATTTTTAAATTAAATCAAAATATGGCTGAACCATTCTAATCTATTTAATATCGGAGAAATCCGATGCGATTGAGGGTTGATTATGGTCTGTATCAGTTAATAAATGTCTAATTAATAATTTAGAAAAACATTTCAGGCCTAAAGAAAAACCTGCAATAGGCATATTTAGCTCTTGCATAATCTATGTTTAAGACCAAAGAAAAAATATGTTGGTCATCTTTTTTGCCCAACTTTCAGGGCGGGCGGGCGGGAGAGAGGGAAGTGATTACTTTTGTAAAAGTAAGATCATAAATTTTTATAAATTATGTCAATCACTTAATGAAAAGAAAAAGCTTGTGCTTTAGATGCTAAGGTCTATCATTGGTTTCGAATCCCCGGTTGTACGTGGCAAGGAGTAGGGTCGCCTGTCCAACCTCGTGGGTTTTCTCCGGTCCTCCCACTGCTAAAGACCCCTACGCGCAAGCGAATTATGTAAATAATACGCTTGCACTTAAATAATTATGTAAATAACATAACCATATGTTAGTCCCGAAATGACCTAGTTTGTGTCGAGTGGACGTTAAACCCCATTTCTCTCTCTCTCTCTGTCATTGAGTCAACTGGCATGGTTTCGAATCCCTGGTTGTATGTGACAAGGAGTAGGGTCGTCTGTCCAACTTTGTGTGTTTTCTGCGGGTCTTCCTGTTTCCTCCCACTGCTAAAGACCCCTACGCGCAAGCGAATTATTGAAATAAAATTAAACCATATGTTACTCCCGAAATGAACTAGTTTGTGTCAGTGGACGTTGAACCCTATTCCTCTCTCTCTTTCTCTCTCTCTCTCTCCCACTGCCAAAGACACCTATGCTCAATCGATTTATTGAAATAAACTATGTTTTATGTTTGTTCCTGCATATTCTGGGGGCATTTTGGTCAAATTTTTAGGAAAATATAAATAAACCTTTATATAACAACTTTAGTTGGACTTGGACGATCACCAATTGTTTTTATACGCCCACATTGAAATGGGGTTGTATATTGTCATCGCCCCCGTCCGTCGGTCTGTCCGGCGTCCACACAATTGCTTTTGGACGCTCTAGTTTGTTTATGTGCATTCATTAAACCCTGAAATTAGCTTTAATATAAATCATAATGTGTATAATGGCCGTCACGATGAGTTCTTGTAGCTAAATTATATTTGCAGCACAAAGTTCATCAAAATAATTCAGGCCAGTTTTGCTCAGCACCGTCAGTCTTCATGAATTGTGTATGCCTGTGCAGTAGCATTTGTAATTATACACTGTCAAATTATAATGACTCTTTGTTGGTTTCTATATATACATATTATGTTGTTTATATTGTGTTCTATGCATCAATGGCATATAATTATACTGTGCTCAAGACAGAATTATGGCAGAGTCACATATTTCCAGACATAGATTTAAACACCACGGAGGACGGGCATTGGGGATAACTCTTAACACTCTCTCTGACATTTCAAGACCTATATTAAGACACTGCAAAGGATTGGGTTTTTTTGGTGTAGTGGAGGGGGGATGGAATTCGAACACCGTAACTGTCCATTGCATGTCTTTATTTTGGCTTATATGAACTATTATTTAGGGATTTATTAACATGACAAGCCAATAATCAACTCTCTCTAGACCATCACAGAGATTTAAATTGATTAGGAAGTCTGCAAGATTTTAGAAATTTATCGATAAAATGGACAAATGAGACTAAGCTATTTGAAGAGCCCCGGGGAATAACGATTTAAGTCACTTTTTCAAGGAACCCCACAATCTACTTCAGGTAAAAACGATCAGAGTCACATCAAACCAAGGCTATTCTGAAATGGCCTCCCAGACAAATATGTTCATCGTACCCTTTATTTTACCTTAATTTGGCTGAAAAGTTGAAATCAGTTGTACTGTAATTGTGATTCGAATTAAACATCATTTTGAAGTTGTAATTTAACCCACTCGTTGTTCTGTTCATGTCAAGTATTCTTGTCCAAAAGTCTGTTTTGCCTTTATGCAAAAAGACAAAAATGTGACTTAGATCGTTCTTCCCCTGAACTCTTAATTTGATAAAAAGGTTTCACTCCTTGAAGTCATCATGCTCGCCATCGTTGAAAGGAAATGTATTATTCTTTGAAAACTGTTTTTACTCAAGAAATGTTTTTGTTGAAACTGTACCTGTTGTGCCTCCAAGATTTAATTAATTCTGGAAGATTCAAGACTCTTTTATATGTCCATTGTAATTGGTTTGATTTTTTGAGAAAGTGCAATTTAAACCAATCAGAATTGTTTTTGCATAAGCAATAGTGAAATATAAGTAAATAGTATATATTTTTTATAATATTGAAAAATAGAATATTATCAGAGTTCTGTAAATATCGTGCTAATTAAAATTAGATCATTATTTCTAACCAGTTTTAATTATTTGTTTATCTATAGACGGTGGTCATGGAACCCGGTCGGCATTCGCCGACCAGTTTTTACAGCTGGTCGACAAAAGGTATCTTCTTTTGAGGTACTTACTATCTCATCCACCACCGGTCACTTGACAGCTTTAGATTAACTACCTCATAATTGAAAGATTGTATAAATTTTGTTCATAAGTAATTTTGATTTTTTGAAATAGAGCTCTATGTAAGTACCAGGGGCGTGTGCAGAAAACAGAAAATGACTGAGGAGTCTGAGAGGGGTAGCGTGTTGGAGGGGGGGGGGGGTCCACCCAGAAAAGTTGAAGTTGATTTCCTTGCATCTGAGGTCATTTCTGAAGAGAACTTATTCTTTTGAATGTCCAGTGCCACGTGTCTGAGTAGTCTTCTACAGCCATGTGTATTTCAGCCGCCAGGAGTAGGTTTCTAGCAGGAATATTCCCGCAGAAAGTGACTAGGATACGGTGATTTCCAAAAATGACCGACATACTCCTCGCAGTGTTTCGTTTGATTAGACCTAATCCCACTCAAGCACTGTCGTAATGAAAGCAAATTTCTGTTCCAAATTATGACTGGTCAATAGTCCGATTAACAACCAATGCCTAACTGCGTAACAATGTCATTCGGGTTTAAACAGAGCTACCCATTGTTTACATAACGTTATGTCATGACACACGAAATATTTACGCACAATTAACCAGTGCATAGCAGCATATTACAGAAAAAATAATTGCGTGACAAACGAGGTTATCAACGGTTACAATGTAAACAATACTGCATGTAGACGAACAATACTTTCACCGTTTTTTAATACCTTAAATCACTGTCCAAAGTTTTAGGGAGACCCTTGGTCTCCCCTTGTCAGTGATACAGGACGGAGGGCCTGACAAGGACAGCTGTCTAGTCGTTCGGATGGGACGAAAAACCGAGGTCCCATGTACACATTGGCGTGCACGTAAAATTCGATATAAGAGTAGGCCGTAGCGCCGCTGCCTGGGCAAAATTTCCCTCATAGCACACTGTATGGCGTATGCCCGTCTTCATTAGCCCAGTTTAGGAGCATAACAGTAGGACGTTAAACCCCATTTCATTTCATTTCATTTCAGAGCACAGTGGTTTATATCATGATGGGAGCTCGGTTACATCCATTTGACATGGCCAAATGCATAATTTCCACAAGGTCGCTACAGGGGCTAAGTGAGAGGGATGCGCCCCCTCCAAAATGGCAAAAAATCATGTGGTTTTAATACGGTTTTCAACATTATAATCATAATCATAATACTCAACCAGTGTCAAATATAAACCGTGGGTCAAATATTCTACAACTCGACTCTAGCATGTTCCACATAGCTCAATATTACTCAGCGGTTTCGAATCCCCGGTGGTACGTGACACTGAGTAGGGTCGCCTGTCCAACCTTGTGGGTTTTCTCCGGAGCCTCCGGTTTCCTGCCACAGCTAAAGACCCCTACGCCATGCGAATTATTGAAATAAAATTAAACCATGTTAGTCTTGAAATGACATAGTTTCTTTAGTTACTTTTATTGTTTTTAGTTGAGGGGTTTTACATAGGCTAAGTCTGTTCCCCAATCCAATTCAGACATCCTGAATAAAAATATTGTTTAAAAAAACAAAAATTATCCATACTTGTCGCATTCTGACTATCAAATTGTCCCGGGTTCAATCGCAGTGATGGACGAACAAATACCTATGAGCCTTTGGTTCAGAATAGACGGCCTGGCAAGGAACGGCGACTTACGGTGTGTAGTCATTTATATAAGACTGTAACTTGATGAAAGTCAGGGGGCGTGTCAGTGAATTTGAGCTAAGCGGAGGGAGGGTGGGGGGGGGGTAGGCTGAGGCAAGGTCAAGTGATCATCAGAAATCTGCTATAATATTTCTATACATCTAGATTCATACATGTATATGAACTGAGTGGGGTGAGGACAAAGCTTCGATGATGCTATGCTCGTTTGTATGTTCGATTTTAGGTGGAATGTAGGAGAACAAAGGGAATGTTTTTAAAAAAGATGGGCGTCAATTGGGAGGAGAGTTAAAACTAGTCTGAATCTATGAACAATAAAATAGTGCTAAATAATTTTCGTCATAGGTCACAAGATGTAAACAGGGCTAGCGCTAATCCCAACCCTAACTCTCACCTTGGACTTAGCCCCAATGCTTACGCTAACCCTAACCTACAATCTCGCCAATAATCACGTGCCCTAACCTTATTAACATCTCAACGACCTTGACAAAAATTGAACTGGCCTTAACAGATAGATTTAGCCCCGAAACCCGGAAGAAAAATTAGCTGTCGAAATGGCCATTATGACTTATGACTAGTATGAGGGAGGAATAAAGAAATAATTCAAAAGACAACTACAAGATTGTTCAAGTATATAGGTGAGTTAAAGGCTGTAGAGACTTCAAATAGAATATGTAGGTATATATCGATCGATATATTCTAGAACTTATACATTCGAAGCAATTAGTCAAATAATGATATCAATACAACACACTTAAACAAATTTATCAGTTATTTCAGCTAAATAGAGAATGGTATATACCTCCCCCAAAGAGACGCATATGCTCAGTCCCCTCCCGACGCGAGGGCCCTGATTGGTATCGGATTTTATACAAAGATGAAGCACGTCCTGTCTCACACAGAAGTCGATGGCAACTGGGGAAAACACTACAACTACCGAAACGTTATATAAACGTGTAAAACAGACCATGGGGTTTGTGGACAGATACTGAAAGTCAAGCCTGATCAGTGAACTTAACAGTTTGAACAGATTAATTTCACCAAAATTGGGAAATGTATTATTCGTATCTATAACAAACTCCATTAAATCGATTAAAATGCCTGACGCGTGCGTAATGTCTATTTATGGTAAGGGGAAACCCCAATGCGGTATAAATTAATATTATCTACGTCATTGGGAAAGCGAGAGAGAGAGAGAGAGAGAGAGACATCCCAAACTTAGGCTGCCTGTCTACAGGCTAACTCCGCCAGAGAGAGAGAGAGAGAGAGAGAGAGACAAACTAAAATTAGTAAAATGTGAGAGAGACAAATTAAAATGTGGCTTCGTTTAATATAATTGATGTATTGTGTTCATATATTTTAACTGTTGGGCTTTTTTTTGTGTTATACGCTTTTATAAATAAGGGGGTTGGCCACGTTTTATGGGACTATTTCAAATGAAATGAAATGGGGTTTGACGTCTTAACTGTCCAGCTCCGACTTACAACGTGCTGTTAGGAACATTTTGTCCAGACGGCGGCGCTACGATTACTTTAATGTCGCATTCCACCTGTTAAGGCTTCTTTTATATATCCACGTCAATGTGTACACAGAACCTCGGTGTAAAACGATACTGTTCGGCACCACTGACAAAGGGAAAACATGCTGGAAATTCTCGAGGAACCTTCTTGGACTGATGAATGAAAAAAAAAATTGTTTCTCATGTGTGAACGGTGCGTGTGTGCAAATCGTTAAAGGTATGAGGTTGACACCCCTTTTTTCGAATTGATTATGTTTACAACATGTGACGTTAAGATCGCAGCCACACGAGGTAATGTAGCAGTTACATTCGCCAATATATATATATAAGAAAAAAATATATAAAACGATCTAACTCTCAGTTAATCATATAAGTAAAATTCAAGTATTAGAGAAAAAACACTAAAAATTATAAAATTTTGGCTAGTACTTTCATCCTTATCAAACGAATATACTCTTCAAAAAAAAAAAAAAAAAAGGCGTGGCCCTTTTTTCATCATTTTCATGTATATGTATATTGTCGTCACCGCTGTCCGCCCGGACGTCCGTCCACAATTTGTTTGTGGACACTGTATGGGTCACAATTTTTATCCGATTTTGATGAAACTTGGAATGCATGTTTATATCGCAAAGATCTTGGTCCCTTTCGATATTCGCGCATATCGGATCGTAACCTCCTGTATTATGGCCCCTGATTGTACGAAAAATCGCGTTTTGAGCTTGTGGTCCCTATAGTGGTCACAATTTGTATCCGATTTTAAAAAAAACGCGTGAATAGATCACAGTTATACACTAATGATGGTTGAGTTTGTGGAAATCGGACAAAAATTGACGGACATAATGGCCGCCCCTTGTAAGCAAATACTGTAAAAATATGGTATATCTCTAGAGGCCACAGTTTTTATCCGATTTGGATGAAACTTTAAATATATGTTTTTATCATAAATCATAAAGATCTTGGTTCCTTTTGATACTCACACATATCCGAACGTAACTTCCTGGATTACTGCCCCTGATTGGCCGAAAAATCGCATTTTTAGCTTGTGGATTCCCTAGAGGTCACAATTTTTTTTCCGATTTTAAAATCCGTTTAGATATATCACCATTCCACCATAATAAAGGTTGAATTGGAATTTCGGGAAAATCGAAATGAAACTGCCCGACAAAATGGCCGCTCTTTGTACGCAAATTGTGTATAAGTATGTAATACAAAGGTTATGGACCCTCTAGAGGTCACAATATTTACCCGATTTTGATGAAACTTAAAACATATCTTTATATCCCAAAAATCCCAGTCCCTTCTGATATTTGCGCATTTCAGACCATAACTTTCTGAATTATCGCCCCTGATTGTACAAAAAATCGTTTTTGTTTTTAACTTGTTATCTATCCATCTCTTGCAAAATGTGGGTGTATCCTGCCTGGCAGCCGCTGGTTTTATTTGAACGTGATCGTTGTTTCCATAAATGTTACTTGTTTTTAATGTCATTATGTAAGGACCAAAGAAATTCATTATTGGTTTTTAGATGGGAAGGTCACTTATTGTGACTGGTCATACTTTTTGCAGAAATTTGTTTTCGCTTGATTGCACCAAGACACAGGAGTTTAACAACTCCGCAAGCTTTTCACGAAGCATGTGAATGTTGGTGGCACTGACGATCATGTTATGTATTCTCTTCCCAAAAAGTAGGGGATATTGAAATGCAAATACCTATGACGGATATGATAAATAGTCACGGACACTTGACATGCTTTGAGAGTATGTTCACAGATGAAGAACTTATCGCCCCAACAGAACCACCGAGCTGCACATGCGACACACAATACCACCATACACGTGGGAGGGGTACATTGTCAAATTTGACACTTCAAGGAAGGGTTGATGAAAACTGCCGCGTGCTGGTTTATCTATCCATGTTAGCATTCCTATCGGTTCTTGCATAAGATTTACTGTTTAGCGTATCTTTGCTACGTGTGTTACGTTTAATTTGATTGGGAGACGTGTTCGCCGACGTCAACGCCAACCGACAATACTGCAAGAATTGGCCGTGGCACTGCAAGAGGAGTGGGTCATATTGCCGCAAATCGTGATTGGACGGTTGATTAGGAGCATGCCACTACAAATTGCTGAATGTCTCGAAGATTGGCGGAGCAAATTACTCATTATTGAGACAAAAATCAAAAACGTCTATTTTCACTTTTGACGGTGTATCTCATTGCGAGTGAAATGTTGCCGTCAGATAAACCGCCAGTATGAACTGTTTATGTTCATGTTTAGGCAATTGACCTGTTATTAAACATACACTGGTTACCTCTAATAAAAACAGCAGTGCATTTCCGCAGTTTTGTATTGTTTCTGAATATCCCCTACTTTTTTTGAAGAGTAGAGTACATAACTAATATTCTTTATTTATTTGTGTATTTTAGTGATGTTGAGAACTTGATATAGACGCACAGCTAAACGACATGGATGCAGAGCTAAACGAAATGAATGTAGAGCTAAACAACATGAATGTAGGGTGGTTCGTATATTTAATAGACCAGGCCTTGGGATTTGACCACCACTAACTGTGCCCTACTCTTCTACCGGGTCTATAGGACAGTTTTTCGCGTAGATTTTGAATCTGGTCGCTGATCAGGAGCTTATTTCGGGGGGGGGGGGGGGTCAATGTCTTAAATTGGGTGGTAATGCAATAATGTTGATTATCATTTTACAGATATTTACAAGTCTTAATAAGTATATAGGATCCTCTTGGATAACTGTTTTGCTTTGTAGATGCGGGGGTTGGGGATTGAGGTGGGTGGTGGGTCCAATGTCTTAAATGTGATTGTGTTGGTTATCTTTTTATAACACTTTTTATTTCTATATAAGTATATAGGACTATCTTGGATAACTGTAGTTAGGCGGTCCGATGCCGAAAACTTGCGGGAAAATGTGATACTTTTGATATAAATAGTGCCCCCATTTCGCTTTATGATAGGTTGGTTGTGCGGTTGGGGGTAGTAGTGTGTGTTTGTGTGTGGTATTCGGCGAAGGGGAAGGGGGGCGGTAAATGTGATAATGGAGATATCCATGATGGTCATTAATTAAAACATCCATTTCTAACACTAAATGAACGTATAAGATTTCTCAATGGGCGTCTTTCAGTGGGGAGGGGGCCTCCAAAATACTATTTTTGGGACAAATACCTCTTGGTCTTGGTGATCAACGTCTTGCACGTTTAACCCTAATAAAACTAAAGATATTATTTTTACTAGGAAAAATACAATCCATCCAGACAAAATTTTTGAAAATACAAAAGTGAAAACTACTCATTGTCATTTGGGAATAACATTTCAGTCTAATGCATTCAGTCTAAAATAGAAGAAATTCATCTAAAATAGAAGAAGTTCATCTAAAATAAAATAAAACCAAGTACGAACAATCCAAACCATAAGACAGAATTCGAAGTCCTAAAAATGTTATAGGCAAAATAGTGTATTCAAGCAAAATAGCGTAATCAGCAAATGGACTGCTCCTCGTGTACAAAATACACGACAAACAGCGGTAACAGGTGTCCGGAAGAGTAAGCTTACCCTGCCTGTTTTTATACAAAAAGCTTGGTTGGGAATCATTGTCTAATCGCAGAATAAAAAACAAATTAATTTACTTATACAAAATAAAGAAGTCCCACTTATCTATCTGAAGCCTTTAAACAATTTGAACCGTCTGTATCAAATTATAACCTTCGAAATGAAAATCTGAACCCCAATCTACCATTTTGTAAAACCAGTTCATATTCTAATAGTTTCTTTCCCTGCGCAATTAAACTTTGGAACAACTTACCTGAAAATATTAAAACCTCACAAACGTTAAATACATTCAAATTGGGCCTTTCACGTGTGTACCCTTTAACTAGACCACTACTATATTATAATACTGGAAATAGGAAAGAGAATATTATCCATTGCCGATTAAGAAATAAAGCTAGTAACTTAAATAATCACTTATTCTACCATTTTATTAGTGAAACAAAAGTGTGCCCTAGGTGTAATTCTGCAGATGAAGATAATTACCATTATTTTTCCATATGTCCAGCCTACTCTACCAAAAGAAAAATTCTAAAAAATAATCTACTCCACCTTAATCAAAATGTTACAATTGATCTGATCCTATATGGCAACCCCCCTCTTTCAGATAATACCAATTCCAACATATTTGAAATAGTGCAAAAATACATAAAAAACAGCAAAAGATTTTAACACTTTAACATTTAAAACTTAAAATTACACTTCAAAATGTATATATGTTTGTAACTCACTGCCTGTAGATATGTCACCATTGTATTGTAAACATAAGATTTAACTATTTTATATGTTTGGAGAGAACTTATATAGGCTTTTGACTGTTGTTCAATCCAATTCAGTTTATTGAATAAAATATTGTTTAAACTAACGTCTTGCACTGTACTAAATATTATAGGTGGATCTATGGGATGTCCTTAAGGGTGATGGGAGTGTACCAGGATACTTTTCGGAACAACCAATATATGGTTCGAAATTGGTCTTAATGGTCACCTTATAGATTAGTAAAACATTAATCTCTAACCATGTGGGGGAAGGAGGAGAGGCAATGCCTAAAATTGGCGGCCAACTGCATTGCCCTCCTCCACACACACTGCTATACCCACAAACATCTCACAAAGCAAAACAAGGGCATTAAATACACTTCTTTACGCATGTACAGTGCTATAATTTACTTTATACGATGATCACCATTTATATGGACATTATCAAATGATAACCAACATTGTCACATTTAAAACATTGGACCCACCTAGCCCAATCTCCCTACCCCCGTGTTTGAAAGCCGTCCTCAAGCACCTTATTTATCTCCATCTAAAATCGATCTCTAATAAAAAAAAGTTCTCCCCTCGGGTGGCGATTCACCCCCACCCCACCCAAACCACCACCACCTTGCCCGTGAGCCACAGAACTAACTTCAGGTAGGCAGATTCCTGGAGCAGCTTGTTAGCTGGAGCACTCAGCGCTATACAAATTGATCATCATTTTTGTTATTGTATGTATTATGTATATATCATCTTTATAACTAAACAACATGTTTAATATATTTTAGGCTACTGGAGTCAAAACTACGCCAAGCTGAAAAAGATGGAAATATAGGACAAGTAGTTGAAACATTATCATTACAAGATAAAAACCAAGCTTTACTTATAGCTGCTAAATCCCGGTTGTATGAAGTTGTTATACATCTTGTAGACCATGGTATTGGTGTACATTATGTTGATAGTCGCCAGAACAATATGCTACACGTACTTTTACATAACTGTAAGAAATATGACTATACCAATAACTATTATTTGCGTGTACAATGTGTATTTAAATTAGTTGATGTTGGTGTAGACATCAACCAGTTGAATGAAGATAAAGATACACCTTTACTTATAGCTGCTAAAAAAGGGTTGTATGAAGTTGTTATATATATGTTAGAACATGGCATTGATGTACATTATGTTGATAGCCGTCAGAACAACCTGCTGTACACGCTTATTTATAACTATAGATGTGGATCTGGCAATTTGTTACAATGTGTGGTTAAATTAGTTGATGCTGGTGTAGACGTCAACCAGTTGAATGAAGATAAAGATACACCTTTACTTATAGCTGCTAAAAAAGGGTTGTATGAAGTTGTAATATATCTGTTAGAACACGGATTTGATTTACATTATGTTGACAGTCGTCAGAACAACCTGATGCACATACTTTTATATAGCTATGCTAGTGATGACAATGTAGGTAGACGTAATTTATTATTAAAATGTGTTGTTAAATTAGTTGGTGCTGGTGTAGACGTCAACCACTTGAATGATGATAAAATGACACCCTTACTTATAGCTGCTAGAAACGGGATGTGTGAAGTTTTGATGTATCTGTTAGAACATGGAGTAGATATACATTATGTTAATAGTCATCAAGAAAACGCGATACACCTACTTGTATATGGCTATTATGGATTTAACAAATCAGATACACTTGATTTGTTATTACAATGTGTGAGTAAATTAGTTGATGCTGGTGTAGACGTCAACCAGTTGAATAAAAATAAAGAGACACCTACAATTATAGCTGCTGACAGCGAGTTGTATGAAGTTGTGATATATCTGTTAGAACACGGAGCAGATGTACGTTGTGTTAATGTTCTTCAGAACAACCTGCTACACATGCTTTTAAATAAGTATAGATATAACAGATATGACAATACAGGTAGACATGCTTTATTATTACCATGTGTACTTAAATCAGTTGATGCTGGTGTAGACGTCAACCAGTTGAATGAACATAAAGATACACCTATATCTATAGCTGCTAGAGAAGGATTGTATGAAGTTGTGATGCGTATGTTAAAACACGGAGTAGATGTAGGTTATGTTGATAGTTGTCAGAACAACCTGATGTACATACTTTTAGACAAATATCGCAACCAGTGTAATCATAACAATACAGGTAGAAGTGATTTGCTATTACAATGTGTATTTAAGTTAATTGATGCTGGTGTAGACGTCAATCAGTTGAATAGATATAAAGATACACCTTTACTTTTAGCTGCTAGAAAAGGGCTGTTTGAAGTTGTGATGTATCTGTCAAAGCATGATATCAATAATCATTGTGTTGATAGATGCCAGAACAACCTGATACACATACTTTTAGATAGCTATGACAGAGATGACAACACAAGTATACCCGATTTGCTACAATGTATAGTTAGTTTAGTTGATGCTGGTGTAGACGTTAACCAAGGGAATGAGCTAAAACCTATATTTATTGCTGCCAGCAAAGGGTTGTATGAAATTGTAATGTATATGTTAGACCACGGAGTAGATGTAAATTGTGTTGATAGTCATCGGAACAACCTGCTAAATATACTTTTACAATACTATAACAGTTATATCAATAACGATATACGGGATTTGATTCCACAATGTGTTTATAAAATTGTTAATGATAATGTAGACTATGTTAATAATCGTCAGAACATCCCGCTGTACATATGTTTAGATAACTTTAACCGTGATGACAACGAAGGTAGGCGTGATTTACTATTACAATGTGTAGCCAAATTAGCTGATGCCGGTGTAGAAGCCAACCAGGCGAATAAAGATAAAGTTACACCTATATTTATAGCTGCTAGGTCAGGATTGTATGAAATTGCAATGTATATGTTAGAACACGGAGTAGATGTACATTATGTTGATCAATATAAATGGAACATTCTTCACTATGTTGTAGGCTGTATTAATCCCTTTTCGATAGTTTATGCCTTTTGCTATGATAAATTTGAAGAAAAATATATACAGCTAGCTAATAATGTAATAAACACAGGTTTAGACACAAACCAACCTGACTATAAAGGTAAAACCCCGTTGTTCCATGTCGGTATATACAAGGATTGTAAATACACCCACCCCTCCAATGCGAATAAGGCATATAGCATACTATTGACACTTAAGACAGGACAGGATATCTACGTTCGATTGAAATGTAAATTGATTAATATGTTGTTAAAAGCTGGTTGTAATGTGAACCATCAAAACACTGACAGGCAAACAGCTTTAATGTACCATATAATATGTCAATCTGATATCAGTATAATAAAACTGTTGATTTCACATTCTAATCTAAGTTTAACTGATCATACAGGTGATACAGCATTAAGTTATTGTGTTAAATATCACCTGATAAATTCTAAAGCCGTCTTTAAACTTTTAGTAGATTCAGGTTCAGATCTAATGTCACGTAACAACGGAGTTAAGTTATTCCATGATATTTTAAAATGCAAGAGGTTGGAGGTGTTCAGTTATTACATTCGGCAGAAGTTGATTACTCATGGTGTTACAGCTGAAGGAGAAAATATGCTTCACCTTTTAGCTCGTGTTAACTATGATTATTCTCTAAACAAGTTTAACTGGCAGTTAAATAACGACATCAACCACCCCTGCTCTAAAACCAACACACCTACTATGATTGCTGCCTTTTTATTAAACATTAAATATTTAGAACTGTTGACACGTCATCCTAGACTAGATATCAATGCACACAATAACCAGGGTCATACGGCTCTTCATCTGTGTATCATTGGATTTACGATGTTTAAATATGGCTTGAACAAGAGACAGGTAAATGATGTTGTTAAGAATTATTGTAGACAGATATATCCAATATACTTGGCTTGTATTGATAGTTTACTTGGTGTTGATGGAATAGATGTAAATATGAAAGACTATAGGGGTAGAACTAGTTTAATGTTGGCTGCTATGAAAAACGACAGAGTTCTTACAAGGAAACTACTCCAGGCTGGTGCCATAGTTAACACGTTAGACTTTTCAGGAAGATCTGCTCTACAATATCTTAATATCTATCAGAGTGTGTTTGATTTGACTTGTTTTAAATTACTTCTAGCTAATGGTAATACTGGTCTTCTCAATTTACTCTGTATTGATGGTAATACAATTATACAAACGGCTTTGTGTTTCCCCTTCTTCTGGGAACCATGCCGCGTTGTTTGTTTTATTAGATATTTAGTTGCTGAAAACTGTTGTCTTCAGATTCTTTTATCATCTTCACTTGAAAGTTGCTATAACCAAATTGATCGTATTGAGCTAAGCCTTGAAGAAAGGGATAAACTGAGAAAACTGCTGTATCTTAGTGGCGCCCAAGGGGAGCAAATTATGACTTCTTTAAATTTTGATGAGGAAGATAAACGATATGAAAGGGAAGAATTCATTAGTTTCTGTAGTAATGTATCTCTCAAGTCCCTGTGTAGAAGATCCATCAGACAGAATCTTGGATTGGGAATACAGGAGAAGGTTATGGATCTAAAATTACCTCGTGAATTAAATGATTTTCTTCTACTAAAAGATGTTCTCCATCCACAAGATTACAACTTAGACTATATTGATGATAGCTGTAATGATTTTGATGAGGATGATGATTATGATGGTTATGATATAGATAAAGATAGAGATGATGATTATAGTCAATATAATTACCAGTATTTAACTCTTAATACGGATCATGAACTAAGACAAGATTTTCGAATAAGCCCGATATTTCCTAATGGTTGTGGTGGAGCTGCTGATGCTGCTGCTTCTGATTATGATTGGTATGATTGTAGTTTTGGTGGTTTTTGATCGTTATTATCATTATGATAGTTATCATAGGTCATCGTGGGTAAAGTGGGGGATCGCGTGGCTACGTGGGTAAGACACTGGCTCGCTAGTCTGGAGGTCGGGTGTTCAATCCCTGCATTGGCCGAGAAAGTTCATCCAGATTTTCTGGCGTGGTTCCCCCTTGTCAGTGATGCAGGACGGAGGGCCTGTCTAGTCCTTCGGATGAGATGAAAACCCGAGGTCCCGTGTATACATTGGAATGCACGTAAAAGATCCCTTGGCAGTTGGAATTCGATATAAGAGTAGGCGATAGTGCCGCTGCCCGGGCAAAATTTCCCTCATAGCACACTGTATGACGTATGCCCGTCTTCATTAGCCCAGCATAGGACAGGACAGTAGGACGTTAAATCCCATTTCATTTCATTTCGTGGGTAAAGTGAAAAAGAAAATTAATATACCATCCAATTGCTAAAGTAACGTGCCCAAAATCTAATAAAACATTAATTTTACTTTGCTTTTAATTGAATACCGCGAATTTATACTGAATTGACTATGGATTAAGACATTTCGTCTGAAACCACTCTGCTTTGTGCAACATTTGTGCTGCATCTGCAACAGTCTGATTGGATGATAGGAATTCAGGACGACATAGAGTTGGATTTCGGTTGCAAAACCATTGGACAACTTTGATGCTACTTTACTCACCGGCCAGAATAGCAGAAAAACGCATTTGCGCTGGTTAAAGTTTCAAAATGTTTTCCAGAAGCGTGAGGCCCCCATACACCGCGGACTTTTCGATTTATTGATTGTCTGGAATTCAGGTGAGGCTATATTGAATTTGCTGTATTCAGCGTCTGGAATAGCTGGAAACGCGTTTGTTGCTGTTAACTGTTCGACTTTTGTCCCCACGTTCCGTCGACTGTAAGCGATTGATTGGTAATCGGGTCAGTCATCATAGTAAGGCTGCTACAATTAAATAGCAGGAAAATGCGATTATACGGCCGGCATTTCAGTTCTGCCCCCCCTCACCACTTAACATTCATGATTACATGTATTACAAACAGAATTGTTAATTGTATTGGTTTATAGTAATTTGAATATATGGTAACATCTGTCCTGTAATGGATATACAATATAACTATTCTTGTATATTAATTATAGTATAATAACATCTACCTTGTAATGGATACATTATATACCTAATATATATTATTCTTGGGTCATTCCATGTCAACTGGATCAATGATGGGAACATGACCTCCTCCCAAAAAATTATAAAAAATATATGTTATAGTATATGGCCTTAAACTAAGAAATCCAAAATTGTACCTCTCTAGGTTGGAAACTCGCTATGATATGGCCATTTGAAATTAGGGTACTAAAACAGATCATAAATTCAGTATTTTTTTCAGGTTTTCGGATGCTTTAAACTCACATTTCTAATAGGAGTAGGACCCTCTAACTTTGTAATCTAAGACAACTTTTGGTGAAGATTATGAATTTAGAATCACACTCATTATCCGATGCATATTGTTCGGGCCACCAGGTGGCAAAATGTGGAACAAATGAACTATTCACTTTTATTTTCAGGATTTCCAAAGCCTCGGGCAAAATCACTATTGTATACATAAACTGCAAAATTGGCATACTTAATGTCAGTTTGTCTTATATCAATTTACAAAAGATTTCTAAGTCGATGGGATATATACTTTTCCAAATATTCAGTCTCGAAATTCAATGCACACTGAAAACGTCCAAAATATACCCATTTTCACCTCCAATTTTGGCCATGTGGGACAGAGGATAAAATTCTGAAAAAAATTGATAATAAAACTTCAAATACCCTACTATAACATACATTAAAGACCATCTTGTGTATTTGATGGCTTATATTTTTAATTGGCACATGAAATCTGTGCGGTGATGAAGTTTCAATGGCTGTTATCCAAATTGTTGACTTTTCACGTTGATTTTAAAATAACTTCTAAATGACCTATACTCCTCAAACAGGATTATGTAAAGTGATGTTTTACGTAGATTACAAATATGTAATCATTTTGGATGTACATTGTATTGTTCTAATTTTATTTTGTCTCCAAAATGAGAACAAAATGGTTAACACGCTTCACGAATTAGAATAATGGGTTTTGATGATCAGATTGAAAGTATTTCTGAAAGACTTAGACCCCTCATATTTGTCATTTTAGATCAACTCTTAACATAGAATAAGAATAAAGACTCTTTTGGGATCCAGGGAGTATCGGTTCATTTTAGTTTTGCTTTAAAACATGTGAAAACGTGTTTTGTCTAATTAGAAAGTTGAAGTACGGTCTTATGTAGTTTCACTATCTCTAGACGCATCAAAACTACAGGCCGCTATCCTTAACGCATCGTCTTGAAACTATGTATACTAGTTTTTCCTTATACCCTAAGGATGTTCCCTATTGTTTTTGGTGCGCGCCAGACCCCCGGGGCAGAGGGCCACCCTCAATTTTTGCATGTGTCAGTTTGTCGCCTACAAGCCAAGATTCTTAATGGATTGTCTTGAAGTTGTGCATACTTATTCCTTATACCCTAAGAATGATCGCTATTGTTTTTTGTGTGACCAACCCTCAGGGGCAGAGGCACGCCTATTTTTTCTTTGTGTGTCTGTGTGTTTTGATCATCTTGAAAACTTGTCATACTTATTACTTATACCTTTAGGATGACCGCTATTATTTTTGGTGCATGCCCAACCACCAGGGGCATAGCAACGCCCATTTTGTTTGTTTATCGCCTAGGTGCCGCATTTCTGAATAGATCATCCTGGAGCGTGGCAGGTTTCGGGCATGCACCAAAAGTTTAGAATTGCAACCTGTGGACGATAACACTAAAATCTGGTCTTGCTGTGCCCCTGGGGGTCGGGTGGGCATACACCAAAAATCATAACAGTCATCCTTTGGGTATAAGGAATATATATGAATAGTTTTCAAGACAGTCCATTAAGAATTGCGATCTGTAGGCCAAAAAAAACCACACAGACACACAAAGAAAAAATGGGTGTGGCTCTGACCCGGGTTGGGCAAGCACCAAAAACAATAGGAAACATCTTTAGGGTATAAGGAATAAGTATGCAGTTTCAAGACCATACGATAAAAATTGCGGCCTGTATTTTTGAAGTATTTAGTGATAATGTAACAACACTACTGTACATGTACTTAAACTTTCTATGCAGACAAAACAAGTTTTCCCCTGTGTTGGAAATCAAAATTAAATTGAAACGATACTCCCTGTAGCCAAATGCGTCTATATTCTTATTGAACAATATACGTTGCTCTAAAATGACAAATATGAGGAGCCTAAGTCTTTCAGAAGTAATTTTAATCTCATTGTCAAAGCCCTATATTACAATTTGGGAAGCGGAACAACAATTTTTTTCTAATTTGGGAGGCAAAATAAATTTAAAATGGTATAAAGTAGATGCAAAATTATTACATATGCGTGATCAAGGCAATAAGGTTCTATAAATAGACACGTTTGAGGGGTATAGGTCATTTAGAAGTTATTTTAAAATCAACGTGAAACGTCAACAATTTTGATAATAGCTATTAAAACTCCATCACCGCACAGATTTCAAGTGCGAATTAAAAATATAAGACCCCAAATACACAAGATGGACTTTAATGTGTGTTATAATAGGGTAAATGAAGTTTCATTTTCAACCAGTTTCAAAATTTTAACCTCTGTCCCACATGGCCAAAATTGAAGGAGAAAATGGGTAAATTTTGTAAATTTTCCGTGTGAATGAATTTTGAGGCTGAATATTTTGAAAAGTATACATTCAATCGACTCAGGATCTTTTGTAAATTGATAAAATACCGACTGACATTAACTATGCCAATTTTGGAGGTTATGTATACAACAGTGACTTTGCCAGAGGGGGTGGAAATCGTGAAAAAAAAAGTGAATAGTTCATTTGTTCCGCATTTTGCCACCTAGTGGCCCAAAAAGTTTGAATCGCACATTAAGTGTGATGCTAAATTCGTAATCTACACCAAAAGTTGTCTTAGATTACAAAGTTAGAGAGTTGTACTCAAATTACAAATGTGAGTTTAAAGCAATTGAAAATCCGAGAAAAACTTTTCAATTTATAGTCCGTTTCAGTACCCTAATTTCAAATGGCCATATCTCCGTGAGTTTTTTTTATCTAGAGTGGTAAAATTTTTGGATTTGTTAGGTTAAGACTATATACTATAACATATATTTTTTATAATTTTTATGGAAGGGGTCATGTACTCAACTTTCCGAAATTTGGTCCAGTTGACATGGAATGACCCTCTTGTATAAAAATATCAATGAGGCGGAAAATGTTGAGCTTTTACGGTGTTATTGTATGTATTATGCATATCATCTTTATAATCATTTGGATTAAATGTTTCGGGTCTGTATGGAATATTGTAAATACTGCATCACAATTTCCTTGAAACTGCTTTTGGTTTTCAGCAATTGTTTTATAATGAATACACATTGTTATCATTTGTATTACTTCTTAATTCACCCCTTGAAACTTTGTGCCAGGAAGCATAAAGATGTACTGACAATTAAAGATTGAACATTTTTACTAAGTTTTACAGTAAAATAATTTGTCATAAATTTTATTCAATATTTATTCACACTCAACACATTGTTTTATCTTAGATTGTACACTAATAGTCCACTATTGAATGTGGAAAGGTCCGGCTGAATGATTGATTAGAAATATGATGCGTTTCAAATGGTACTCCATAGAAATGAATTTGGCCAACAAAAATTATATCTAGGTAACAAATTCGGGCCCGACTAATCACCGGAATTCGTTTACAATCACCGGAATTCACATATAAACACGGGAATTCACCGGAATTCACTTCGAAAACCCCCGATTCCTCCCACAAAAAAATTGATTTTTTTAAAATGCATAATACATTATAATGTAACGAATAACTATTTTGATATCCCCACAGGCCAAATAAAGGCCCTGTGGGTGTATTTATTTAAAAGACTGCCGGAATTCATTTCAAATATATGCATCATGGTTATGATAACGCAGGGCGCGTCGTATTACCCACAATTTTCGTCGAATTATCCAATAACACCAAAATAACAACCAATAACTCCACAAATGTTGACTGTGGAAACACAAAATAACAATTTAGTTGAGTTTAAGAAGCCTCACTGGTTTTTGTCCAAATCGAAGTTTAAGAAGCCTCACTGGTTTTTGTCCAAATCGGAGGTTCACGGGAGATAACTCGTGTATGTGATTTTTGTTGACAAGAAACAAAATTAAATGTATACTTTCGTTGCAATTCGTTGTAATGTATTGTAATTAGAGATTGATTAATAGTTTATTAAAACAGTAATTATATGCATGAAACATATTATGGTATATACAGTGTAATAAACAATTCAATATAATAGCTATATTTATTTATTTATGCTTGCAAATTGTGTCGATTGTCACTTTCGGTCATCAACGTCGTAACTTGTTTTTAATTGTCTTTGCTCAGAGTATTCTCATGTTATGATAGTTTATTATGTTGTGATTGTGTGTGTCGTGATTTGTCACCTTATACAATGACAATATTTATGTTAAGCGCAATCTTCACCCTGTCATCCTGCGCAGATTGCGGGGTCCAATCTGCCAACTGGCGCGCAGATTGCCAACTTTGCGCTAATTATCCCACGATGTTTTTAGAGATATTGTAGTGTGTCAGACGCAACTATATATTCTATTATATATGACCTGCCTCCTATGGTCTTCAGGGGCGGATCCAGGAATTTTTGCGGGAGGGGGTTTGCCAGGTTCCTGAAAAAATGTACCCCCCCCCCCCTCAGCTTGAAATATTTTGAGAAATACATGGTCTCTATCAACATTTTGGCGTATATACATACACATTGATGTTTTTAAACAGAGAAATCCAACATCTTGTTTGACGTCAATTTTTATTATGAATTAATACGATGACATTGTGATTCAATTTTATTGATGCAAAGCATTAATTGTGATATCACATATGTCTATATCATTATCTCGCGCTTTCAGTGCCCATCCTGTCGCACCATCTGACGATAAAGGGTAAAACACAATTATGACACTTTTCTCATAAAAAAGGTTGTTTTACAAAAACAAATTTGTAGCTGAGTGACGCCAAACATGACAAACACGAGTTATCCTTCTATGTATCAGCCAATTCTATTTTTGAATTGTGAGATACACTCTCACCGTCCCATATAATAACTTTTCAACTTCAACGGAATTATCAGTGAAATTAAATTCGATCGTTTGTCTGGTATCGCTCGTTACTTCAGTCAGATATATAGAAGAATAACTCGTGTTTGTCATGTTTGGCGTCACTTCCCGTTTCTTCACGTGCTTGTTACACATCTCCCGTAGCAATGATCTCTGTGTTAAAATTATATTTGGAATGTATTTAACCATTTCTATCACATATGTAATAATGACTGACACCAATATTGTCCTTAAGACACGTATTTTTACCTTGAATACCCCCCCTCCCCTCATAATCACGGTAATAGAGTTCAGTACCAATCAACTTCGATCGTTCCGTAGGCTAAGTAAATATGAATGTGCCAGAAAATTATTTACATATTTGAAAAGAGCAATGAACGTGCTTCTCACTGATATGTAACATCATATCTGGAATTTGGTATTTAGTTACCTTACAGAACGATCAAAGTTAGGTGATTTTTCTTTCATCTTGTAATTGTATGCTGCTACATGTGGGCGTTTTTATGCAATAAATTTACTTTACTTTACTTTTTACCGTGATTACGGGAGGGGGGGGGGGGGTCAAGGTAAAAATACGTGTGTTAATACCAAATTCCAGATATGATGTTACCTATCAGTGAAAAGCACGTCCATTGCTCTTTTCAAATATGTAAATAATTTTCTGGCACATTCATATTTACTAAGCTTACAAAACGATCAAAGTTGGGTGGTACTAAACTCTATTTCCGTGATTACGGGAGGGGGGGGGTGGGGTATCCAAGGCAAACATACGTGTCTTAATACCAAATTCCAGATATGATGTTACATATCAGTGAGAAGCACGTTTTTCTGGCACATTCATATTTACTTAGTTTACAGAACGATCGAAGTTGGGTGGTACTAAAGTCTATTACCGTGATTATGGTGTGTGTGTGTGTGGGGGGGGGGGGGTATTCAAGGTAAAAATACGTGTCTTAATACCAAATTCCAGATATGATGTTTCATATCAGTTAAAAGGACGTCCATTGCTCTTTTCAAATATGTAATGTGGGTTAGTTCCTAAGCCTTGTTTGTTACGGACCCACCCAGGGTAGTGCTGAAAAATGGTCCATGTAAAATAGCAAATACATTAATGTACATATTTATGAAAATGAAAATATTTCTGTCCATTAAAAAAAGTAATAATATATTTAATATGAATATACAAATTTGTATCCAAATGCGAGGTCATCTGGTCCAGGACTGGTTCACTGTCGAAAAACGCAGCCTTGTATCTGCACTTAGATTTGTCGATTTTATGACCGGTACCAATGTTCCACAACCAGACAATAGTCTTGTTAATTTCCGCTGGTCTTCGATGTGAGTTTGGAAATAGGTTCCATTCTGAGCTGTAGCCTACATTTAGACATTTCGTCTGGTAGACCAGTGCACTCTGATGTCAACAATTTGTCGACGTAACTATTGATCTTAGTTTTCATTAGTTGAGAATTATTGGTGGCCGGGAATAGGGTGCCTTCCATTGTAGTCGTGTTTATTAAAAACAAGTACGCTTTTTTTTTGGTTTTTAGAATTTAATATTTTAATTGTCTTTTAAAGACTGAAAGCAAGTTTTATTATGATTAATACAATAACCTGCTTGGGTAAACTTTTCCTTTAACAGATTCGATGTAAATCTTCTGGTGCTCTGACTGCAAATTCAGCATTACGAGCAACGGATTCTCGTGGTGAAACAAGTACTGAAGTTAATCCCAGTAATCCTGACAATGCTAGTGATTTAACACTGGACAACGACCATCTTGCATCAGCCGCGGCCATTGAAGTCGAGATGGGAATAAAACCAAGAAGGGATGGTCAGCAATCAACAACAGACGGCGACGATAATATGGAAACACAAAATTGTATTCTGAGCTCTTCAAAAGAACGTGCAATGGAGTCTAAGATTGATTGTACTGATGATTAATTCCATTCACTTTGTTTTGATAATTTGATTTTGTTCTAGAAGCACTAACAGTGCCCCTATAAAGAGTATATAATCATAGTTAGTATTTGATATAATATGGTTATATGTTCACGATAAGCGTTAGTGATATCCCATATTAAATATGCTGAATATTTTTGGTTAATTGCATATCGATATTTCAATATTACTTTAATTTGCTTTTGACCAATTTAATAATGTGATTATATTTTACTTTAGATTATGTTTTGATCTACAAAATTCTTTGGAAACTATTGATGTACTGCAGCAAAATGATACAGTATGTAGATTTCACTGTATAAATAATATTATGTAGATAACATTGGCAATGAATTGATTAAAAAAAAAACCATAATGTACATAATGTTATGTCCATAACGAAATTCTTGTAAAAGTGGATATGGCCGTGCATGGAAATACTTACATACAGATTCAAATAAAGTGCTAGTGAACTCTTTAATCATATCTAGATTGGACTATTTAATCCCTTACTCTTCAGACTTCAAGCTTCTTCTCTTCACTCATTATAAACGATACAAAACACTGCTAATCACTTGAACAAATAACCTGTGCTTTCAAATCCCCTCACTGGCTGCCCATAAACATCGGACCTCTCAAGAAATGATAACATTCAATAGTTGAAAATGTTACATGCATTGTTGTGGATATATTGATACAGGTCACCTTCAGACGAATATGAAGTTTTCTAAGTTATCTCCCTTCGAATTAGCGTCAATAAAAAGAGCACAATTTGCTCGATTGAGCTGATGTTTAGCCTGAATTCAAGTCAAATCAATTCGATTGAAACCAATTTAATGCGGTTATATCAGATTGAATTCATCCAAGATAATCAGTCATATGAAAATGTATTTCTGCACAAGAATTGGCGATATTTTGTCATAACATATGGTTTCGCCTTCTTCAATATAGCATCTTGATATATTAGATTATTTTTAGAATAAAAACTTCACTGGAAGTGACATAATTTTAATTTCTTAGTCTCATCAACAAATAGAATTAATAAATGTAATCTTGTAGACAACACATAATGGCATCAAATCACGTTTTTGTTTTGTTTGTTTGTTTGAGCAATATTGGTGCCATCTTCGATGGAAAATTGATCTCGCCCTTTAATTCTAGATATTTCTTCACTTATTTCATTGACCCAGCTCCCGACGACCTCTCCGATTCCTCAACAGAAAATATCACCTTGAAGACTAAAACTCACCTTTGCTACAGGTGGTGCTGGCTTTTATCTGTATCCTCATATATCGTTTTCAGCTAGACGATGCCGAACGTTGACAAATTGTTGGTTCATCATATCTTTGTAAATACTGGACTGCAAAGGAGTCAAAAATCACACAGATGAAGAGAGAGTGAGAGAGAGAAATGGGGTTTAACGTCCACTCAACACAAACTAGGTCATTTCGGGACTAACATATGGTTTAATTTCATTTCAATAATTCGCTTGCGCATAGGGGTCTTTTAGCAGTGGGAGGAAACCGGAGGACCCGGAGAAAACCCACGAGGTTGGACAGGCGACCCTACTACTTGACACGTACAACCGGGGATTCGAAACCACACCAGTCGACTCAATGACAGACTTTATGATACAGCGCGCGAACGCTAACCATTCAGCCCCCCTCCACAGATGACTGCATATCTTTTACATCTTATTTTTAAAGAAACGCAATCATAATCTGATTTTGGGAACACGTGGCTAAGTGGGTAAGACACTGGCTTGCTAGCCTGGAGGTCGGGTGTTC